GTAGAGAACTCCACGACTACAACTTGACACTTTATGGAGAAGAACTGCGACTTGAGAGACGACTTGTTTTCCAACCAGACAAAAGCAGGAACAGAGAGACTCGTATTGTGACACGTCGGAGGTGAACTCTGCTTTACATTCAGCATTACAGAGTCTAAAGCGAGCATCGGCTGCTGACTGAAGCCAGACAGCGGAGGAGAGCTCGGTGCTGAAACAGTGTGGTGAAGTATAAATAGAGCGCTGCATCCCGGCTCCTTCACTCGCCTTTTGAGAGTCTACAAATATTTATCTCATAGCTCTTCGCTCCAAAACTGAACAAGTCAATATGTGCTCAGTGTTTCTCCCACACACACAAACACGCAAACACAGCGGCAGCCAGATCAAAGAGTCAGAAAGCTATGCATTGTCAAGTGGAGCCGGGTCAATATTACAATTCCCAGTCTGTAAGTGAAGGGCTTTGTGTTGTGATTCTTTTCAGATCCTGAGAGCGCTCCAGCACATGAAGGTCACCGTGGATAAAGTGCCTCCGCCGCCCTTCACGCTTCGCACGACCAGCACGACAAACTGGCTGCTGCTTAAATACGCCGGCGTTTTTTATTTTATTTTTATTTTTGCGCGGCTGGACCGTGAACAAACAGCCACAAAGGTTAAATCTCTTCATTCGCCGATAAACAGCGAAAAGTTGTGGGGGCGGATCGAGTGCTGCGTTCGGCTGTGGGAGCCAGGAAGATGCACATTAGCTGGCGGCTCACTGTCAGCTCGGGTTTGAACGGAGCTCCGTCAGGACGCCATACGTGTAAACCGCGTGTTCTACACATGACTTGATGAACACGTCTGCTTAAACAAACCCGCCGTGGCAGCTGGAGAGCAGCGCCGGATCCCTCTAATTCACACGGCTTCTATTTTCTCCGAGATGTCTGTCCGCCTCTGAGTGAACCCGGCGACCGTCGAGCGGACCAATTCGCCGACAAGGAAGCCTGGGTAATTATCATCCGGTTGCCATGGCGACGCATCTGCGTCAGCCTGCCGGTGTGGGAATTTTTTCCCTGACAGTCAGACGCTGGAGAAAAAAACCCCAAAAAAACAAAAAGAGCCTTAAAACAAAGAAAACAGGTGTCGTGTTGTGAAGCGAACGCACTGGAAAATTGCAGGGAGTGAAGTTCGCCTGCCTGAGACGATGGAGCTGCATCGAGCTGCCAGAACGTCGGCCTGTTCTTCGATTGTCGGTCGTTTGAAGAGCGCAGCTGTGGTGAAGTTCTGCACAAACCCGGTCTTTGTACACGTTCGACATACAGCGACGGTAAAAAGGATCCATCCTGTTTGGAAGCGTTCTCCTTTTATTGCTTTTTAAACATTTAATCACAGTTATTTATTCTTTTATGTACAAAAAATGACACATTTCTACAAAGTAATGTCATAAACAGAAAAAAGAAGTTTTCACCTCCTTTAAAGTGACTCATCAGATGGTGCTAGAAGTCACAGAGTTATTAAAATGGATCATCTGAGGTCAGTGATTGGAGCACAAAGACTCCTGAAGGTCCAGTCCCTGGTGGATCAGAACTCCTGGATAGAACGACACCATGAAGACTGAAGAACACTCCAAGAACTCTGGAGAAGGTTGTTGAGAAGCATCAGTTAGGAGACGAGAGAAGAACTTTTACAAGTTACTGAACATCTCTGGAGCCCAGTTAAATCCATCATTAAGACATAGAAGGAACATGGACCATGAGTAGATCTGACTGGAGCAGGACGTCCTCAGAGACTGAGTGACCGAGCAAGAAGGAGACTAGTGAAGGAGGCCACTGAGACTCCTATGACTCCTCTGTAGGAGGTACAAGAAGGAGACTAGTGAAGGAGGCCACCAAGACTCCTATGACTCCTCTGAAGGAGGTACAAGAAGGAGACTAGTGAAGGAGGCCACCAAGACTCCTATGAAGGAGGTACAAGAAGGAGACTAGTGAAGGAGGCCACCAAGACTCCTATGACTCCTCTGAAGGGGAGAGAGACAAAGAGAAAGACTCTGTTGGAAAAAGTTCATATTAAATCTAGACTAGAGTTCACCAGAAGACATGTGGAGACTCTGAAGTCACCTGGAAGAAGGTTCTTTGGTCTGAGGAGTCCAAAATGGAGCTTTTAATCCATCAGACTAGATGTTATGTTTGGTGTACACCAAACACTGCACATTATTACAAACACACCATCCCCACTGTGAAGCACGGTGGTGGCAGTGTCATGATGAAGCACGGTGGTGGCAGCGTCATGATGAAGCACGGTGGTGGCAGCGTCATGATGAAGCACGGTGGTGGCAGCATCATGATGTGGGGATCTTCTCAGCAGCAGTCTGGAGGGCTTGTGAAGGTGGAGGGTGAATGAATGCAGTGTAGAGGAATCCTGACTTGAAGGAGGTGAATTCTTGTACAATTGCTCATTTTACATTTTTACTAATTGACATTATTTTCACAAATTTATGTCCAAAAAGTCGAATTAAAATTAAAGCTTCCAAGTGAACGCTCTTCACAGTCCGTCTGAATGACGGCGTCACTTTAACAGATTGATGAATCAGTAATGCTGCTGATCTCACGTCTGAAACTGGCTTTAGTGTCTGACGGAGGAGCTCAGATGAAAGTGGACGGCGACACTCAGCTAATCGGCTACAACAGCTTCTGCTTCAGCCCCATTACGGACGCTCCGGCTCTCGGTGCCCTCAAAGGTCAGCGCTGTCAGACCGGCTTGCTGTCGGTTATCGGTGCAAATTCGTTAGCCAAAGGTCACCCAAGTTGAATCTGACAAAAAAATTTGCACCGAATCAACACTTTGATTCCCGGCGGGGGGTTTCCTCGCATCACGTCCTTCCTTTCTCCTCCCGCATCCTGAAATGTTAAACTCGTTTGTTTGGCTCCTGACAGCGGAGGCGCTAACCGAAAGCCAAACCAGAGCACCGAGCGCTTCTCAGCTATTCTCAGTAACGTGGACTCGCGGTGCTGCTTCGCCGTAAATAAATCCACGAGCCAGTCGAGGGCTGCAGACCAGGAGGAGCTGAAATGCTACACTTCTGTCCAAACGTTTGCTGCCACGTGACGCTTCATCTGCTCTCATGAGGCGACGGGATGCAAACGGCTTTGTTTCTATACGAGCTGCTAAATTTATCCGTCGCGTGGCTTCGGTTTCTTTTTCCAGTAATGAAGGCCAAAGATCATCTTCAAAGCACAACATAATTACCGCGCTGCACACATCATTAGCGTGGCTGCTTTCGTTCGGTTTGCGTCGTACCGTTCCTGGCGAGGATGACGGCGATGTACTGCTGGCTGAAGGTGCTGACGGTCAGCAGCATGGCCGGCCGCTGGGAGGTGACGAAGCTGAAGGCCACGTCCTCTCTGGCCCGGCTGTCGGTGGAGACGCTGGAGGCCTGCGAGCTTCTGTTCTGCATCACCGAGAAGGGCTCCTGGAAGGTGTAGGTCACCGAGGACTCCCGGTCGAAGGACACCGACACCTCTGCAACACACGGAGAGAGGAAAAGCCTGGTTGGTTCAGAGCAGGAGCTGCAAAATGTGCTCGGCCAGGAGGTCAGAGGGGTGGTTTGCTCCTGGGTGAAGCAAAAACAGAAGCTGTGACGACATTTAAATCTGCATTAAAGAGCAAACAGTCGGCTTTTTGCTTCCTCCTTTGCACCACCAACACATGAAACCCGTCTGATGTGGTGAAACTGTCCCCACAAGAAACCAACATGTCCTGAAAATGAAAAAAA